ATACGCGCGTGACACTCTGTTGTAGATTTTAATCGTGAAATAAATGACACGTTATTAAAACACATTATAAAATTATACAGCATATTATAAAGTTATAAAATTCGCGCGATGCCTATTGAATAATTTAAAAGGGATGTCTGATTTCAAATTTCGATTTCAAAATAATATCGATATAAGAATCGATAGTAGGGAGAGGGGGGGGCAGTTGCGCGCGCATCAATGCTTGATGCACTAAGTTTATACAATATATAGTACATTGTACGTACAAAACACAATGCATGCAATATGTATATACAAGAATTATAACGCAACATTTTTTAATTGTCTTATTCGTTGATTTTTTCACTCACCACATCGCTGTCTTGAAACTGGTCTGACAGGTTACTTGTTAAAAAATGTCTAAAAAGGACTCGTTTCTTCCTCACGTACACACACACACACGCGCGTGCACTTCCTTCTTGATAGACTGTTTAAAAGTGACGTTTCACGTTTCGTGCGTCTGTTTTCAAAAAGAAATAACACTCATGATCTGATTGTAATGTTTCCCTCCACATATGCAATATCATCGTCATTTTTATCATCGTGCACGTATGTCGCGTATGAACGAAACGAATGAGTCTACACGTGTTTGGTTAAGTCGACTTGAATGTCACCGTGTTTTGAATATACTTTACGCTACACGTTACGATAAATTAGGTTAGAACGTAGAAAAAAGTAGCACGTACGCGATTTACAATGCGCAGCCCTGAAATTTCGTAAAATTCCAATGTTCTGCGATTAACTTTACCTGCAATTCACGCAGGCTTGCCCGAAGCACGTCAAACTGGCGGGTTCGAGATTTATTTATGACGTCACGAAGCGCTGGTCGATAAAAATTCAACGTTTACCATGAACTACGCTACGTTACTGACTGTTGATTCTCGCAACAACGACCACAGACACAGACGAGGTATGTAAATTCTTGAAACAGACTGGCAACACTGTCCATATTTTTCTGATTTTGATTCTCATCGCTACTAGTGCTGCGATGCAAAACCTGCCTGAATCGGTACAGCAGAATGTAACACGAAAATGATAAGGATGCCGAAATTCTGGGATAAAAATACATATTGGATGTTTGTCTATTTATATACCTCGTCTGTGGTGATGCAATGTCTATTCATGTACCTCGTCTATGGCTGTGACTTCGCATGCCAATAATTTTTTTATCATGTCGGTATTTTAGAACGCGTGACGCGACGTCTCGTAAGATATCATGTCTATTCTGTATCTCATCTGTGCAACGATCAAGCTTCTCGTGTAAACGCAGATGTCACTATCCGACGATCAACTACTAAACACGAGATAGCGTGTATAGAACTTTCATTACGAATTTTACTATGAGAAGGCGATAAGTAAGGGACGCTTGATAATTGTTTTAATCGTACAACTTTCCATAACTTATACGCGATTGTCTATCTCGAATCCTTTTTATAATTCTAACGTAAGGAACGACGAACGGATTTTATATTAATTTTTATGTAACGTTAACAGATGCACCGGATGTGACAGGCAGCGTAATAACCCTTAAGGTTAAGTGACATTACGCTTTTTAATATATTTGATTGTTTTTTTTTAAATTGGTAAACAATTTTGGAACAATGCCAACACCAAATTCCATCAGCGTAGCTGTAATATGTTCCAGCAATATGAATAGAAGCATGGAAGCTCATGCCTTCTTGAGGTAATCAATCCTAATAGTAACCAAATTGTTAAGTACATAAAATATTGGACAAATGGATATTCCTGTTCTTTCTTTTTCAGTAAAAAAGGATTCAACGTGAAGTCTTTCGGGACTGGTGATAAAGTTAAGCTTCCTGGAAATGCACCTGATCGTCCAAACATATATGACTTTGGAACTTCATATGACGAAATATACAATGATCTTTTATCAAAAGACAAGCAATAGTATCCTACATATTAAATAAATTAGTAAATATCTTCTCATCTTTTTTCAGAACGTCTGCGAGAAGTTTGCTAACTTTGAGACAAGATAATTGTTTTTTCACATTTTTATTCTTTCACATTATTATCTTTTTAATAAGTACAATATAGCTCATGAAATAATTGAAGCTAAAATTCCTTAACCACGACATTAGTTATACGCAAAACGGTTTATTACACATGTTGGATAGAAACCGTAGAATAAAGCCCAAACCAGAACGATTTCAGTTATCGAAGGATAAATTCGATATTTTAATCAGTTGCGAAGAGCGCGTTTATGACCAAGTAATTGAATGTATGGAATCTAGAACTCAGGAGGATAGTCAGCCAGTACATTTGATTAACATTGACATCCAGGATAATCATGAAGAAGCTACAGTTGGATCATTTCTCATTTGTGAATTAGTCACTGTGGTAATTTCAGATTTTGTTTAAATTATTGTTTTATTCCTTTATAATTGTTTTTCTAATCAAGAAATATGTTTCTCCAGCTAGCAAACAGTGAGGACTTGGATAACGATATAGACGAACTACTTCACGAATTTGAGTCCAAATTTGCAAGAACAATCTTGCATACAGTACTGTTTTATTAAACAGCCTGCTGCATACCAAGAACTTGGTGTTCATCAACGACTTTATAGTTATAAAAGCAGAAATTATACATTATAACTGTACCACTACATTCTCCGAGTCAGATCATGTGGAGTGAATTCTACTTTTCCGCTCCAAGTAAAAATTCGATCCGCGCTTCCTATTTAACAAAGTACTGCTTTCCACAGAGATCGTTTTAGAGACCTGCCATACTATATCTGTAATTCATGGCAAGATATACAGAAGTAAAATTACTGGAGTTGTTCCGATTTTCGAAACATTAGTATTAGAGGGATTAAAGATTGAAAAGTAAAGAAAACAAATTATGAAATATTTTAATTTTATAATATATACACATATAAGTACAACAGCAAACTATTCTTATATGCGTATGTATTTCATTGTTAGAATATTTGTGGTACATAGAATTGATATGAGTCTCTGATGTGTTTATAAATTCAGAGGCTTGTATATTATGAAATATACAATTCGCTGTTATATAGCGAAAAGGCCTTCAATTCTCATAATACAATATAAATATTCGTAAAATCAATGTTGATCAAGATGGGCGTACAATCTTCTCGTTTTTTCGTGTTTCTTTTTATTTGAATGTTTATTGATCTTTTTCCACGGTTTTTCTTCAAGCGACAAATTTTGTGTGGAACCAGTCACTGATTCTCTATTGCTGAAAAAATTGTTACAATAATTACCAAAATATTTGAAAAACTAGATTCGTGTACACGCTCTATTACTTATTATTATATACGAACAATTATTGTCAAAAAAATTATACAAGAATGACTTTATCAAATAATAAATATACAATAATGTTACATACTTTGAATCAGCTCGGTACGAGCCATGCATTTTTCCAATTATTCCTTTTACATGTATATTTGAAGTATTATTTTGAAAAAATACTTTATCTAAATCTTCAGATGTAATTTTACTTCCTTTATTCACGCGCACCGTTTTAGGCGGCAAATGCTTATTCACAGAAATTATTCTTCTTCGCGAAGGGAACGTATGAAAATTTTCCTGTTCTATCGTTGGTGGTGCAACACAGTACAACAATCTACCGTTTACAAAATCTTTTAAAAGATATCGCGCTGAGCGCGGATTGTCTGGTTGTCCATTTTGTGTCATAAAACCTCTACTATCTACAAAAAAAAAAAAAGAAATAGAAAATAAATTACAAAATTTGTACAAACTATCATGTACTCTTATATAAGGAATACACGAGTACATACATCCATAGGCATTTAAAATTTCCTCTGCAATTGGTGGACGATTAGAATCTTCTCCTTCTGGTGGTGGAGGTATCATGATTCCATAAAGATCTTCTATAACATGTCTCGGTATTAAAGTACCTAATAATGTAATTGGAGGTACATGATCTCTCATTTGATCAATTGGCAATATACCATTTAATATCATTTCTGATTTTGTACAAACGAAACTAGGCATTACCAATCCAGGGCAGTCACACAAAAGTAAATCCTTCCCCAAGAACAGTGTTTGAAAATGTTTCGTTTTACCTGGTGTAGCAGACACCGATACTTTTTTATCCAACAATAAGGCATTTATTGTGGAACTTTTACCTACATTTGGATAACCTACTAAACCAATTGTTGTGATTCCTTTCGTATATGTTTCACCCTTGTAAATTGTTTTAAAAAATGATATTAACTCATCTCTGCTTAATAATTCTGACGAATTCCTTATCTTATTATTATCTTCCATACTTTTCTCATCTAATTTTTCTATTGAATTTTCCAATTCATTTAAATTACATTCACTAGATTTCTTAGAGCTTATTTTCTCTATATTTTCAATTATATTATTACTACCATCATCTGCACTTTCATATTCACTTTCTGAAGCAAATTCTGAAGTGTATGAAGATACATCACTATCATTATTCTCTGCTTCACTATCCTCTTTGTCTTCAGAATCTTCTTCCTCTATTATATCTTTCATCTTTTTATTTTCAGCTGCCAATGTTGCAGAGAAAAATGCAACCGTCAAATTAATGTCTGTAAAATATTTTATCCATGCTTGTCGTTGTTCCTCCGTTAAAAAATCTGCTTTATTTATCAGTATGACATTCATCTTTCTGGGATCCACTTCTTTAACATACACCTCCAAATCCTGGCAATAAAAGAGCAGCGGATTTCTCGCGTCAACTATCTGTACAATAACGTCACTGCGTTCTACTACTCTCCACAACTGCCTCCAGAATTCTAAATTCTTTTCGTAAGGTGTCAATATCAATCCTTCTACCTCTTGCAACGTAGCAAGGGAACGTCTCCACTCTAAAAATTCTTCTTTCTCTCTGTTTTGCAATTCATGGGCCATAGTCGAATTGTCCCATTTTGGCCTCCTTGGTATTTTCAGGAGAGCTTTGTTTTTTCGCTGCGACTCCAATAGTTTTGCTTTTTCGTCCTTTGAGAGTAATCCGATGCCACTCTTTGGATTAACGAACTGGATGTTTAATTTCTCTGCGTAAAACTCGGTCCCTGCTAACTCCGCGGTGGAGAGAAACTCTTGAAAGGAACTTTCTTCCGTAACAGATTGAAGATTAAGACGTCCCCAGTCGTAGCCGTCGTTTAACTCGGCAATATGAAGCTAATTAAAAAAATATATTATCGAAATATCGGAAATTATTCTTTTTCATATGTGACGAAACGAATAGGTTATGAATAACGCTACTACTTTACCATGGACGAATTAACATTTCTCTTGTTTCTTGACGAGTTGAAACGGTCCCTGATCAAGGCTTTTCCTAAATTATTACCTCCTATTTTCCCTTTTTTACCCATTGTCAGTTTTATGCAACTTTAAGAAATCATAACACGAGGTTAGTCGTTGTTCAATACAGAGTTGTCAAACGTCAAAGGTAAAGTGATGGCATGAACGAAACATCAAGAAGTGCATGTAATATATGTATATTAATCGAATTAAAATCATAAGAATTATGTATTCAAAGAAAAAAAGAAAAGAAACATCTTGCAAATGTAACTCGATGCACAATAGAATTAGAATATATATTTATGCATCATACATTTGAACTATATTTGCATATATATATATTTAAATTAAACATATGCCAAATAAATCTATAAATCAAATCTGGAATACAGTGTTTCAAACGAATTTTTGCATCTTAGTTCATTTTTATTAATAATTGATAGGTAAACTGTTCTGGTTCACAGTTCTCGCGACGACCAGCAACAATTATGAAACGTTCAACATGCTCCACATGCTTCTCTCTATTCTACTCCGGCGCGCTCAATTCTCGAAATCTCTCGGAACAAGAAAAATTCTTTCGCAAGGCAGCTTGTGAACAGTTGTTTTTTCCTTTTTTTTAAGTCCATTTTCCTTTTTCTCTTCTTTTTTTTTTCTTTCTTTTTCTACCTTCCCTTTCAAATCGGAATTACATCGGTGTATTATTGATTATATTTTATATATTACAATTTCCGCGACTTTCACGCAGATTCGCCACGCTTGAATACTATACGCGTATCACAAGCCGAGGATAAGAGAGGTCGCAATTGCATCCGACACGAATTCATTCGCATTATTTAGAAATCTAGCCATTTGTAGTATCGATAATCAGTCACTTTTTCTGCAGGGAGAGAGGGGAGAGGGGATGGATGAGGAGTGGGGATGAAGGAGGAGAAGAGAACGTTGTTCTCTCACCAAATAAACTCCCATCGGAAAAAAGAAAATATACTTTCATCCAAGCACGCTAGATTCGAATGTTCTCCTTCTAACTGGCTGAGTATAAAATGGCTCGCAACACATGATTTCCGACACGTCCGGATCGTTATTTTACACTCGCAATGCTTTCACAGAATACCACCCCGTCCTACGTGGAATTTGTTATCGATCAACTGTACAATCCAGCACGGGTAAAACTGGCATGGACGAACGGCAGTATGTTATAACGTACACATAACATACAAACATTTTCGTTCCGATGATAATTACTTCTTAATAATTATCTCTTCCTCGAATCCCTCGTGGTTGATCGCCGTCACGTCCCCTGCCGCGGTTGTTATACCCGCTTCTTCCCATTCTTCCCATGTTATTGTCGTTGGGGCCTCGGTTCATACCGCGATTAGGACCAAGTTTATTCCCGAAATTACCAAAGTTCGAATTGAAGTTATTCGGCGGATTCTGGCCGGGGTTTTGACCACGGAAACCAGGCCCGAAACCCGGCCGATCGAAGTTCGGCGGACCGGAATTTGGCCCGCGAAAATTCGGCAGACCTTGAAAGTTGTTACCGAATGGTCCTTGGTTTGGCCCGAACGGTGGCAACGGGCTCGGTCTGAAATGTTGATTCGGCCCGAAATTGCCATTCGGCGGTCTAAAGTTAGGGCCGAAGTTGCCAGGTGGCGGTCCGTTAGGGCCAAAGCCGGGATGCATGTTAGGATGGTGCATCATATGCATGGGAGCGTCAATTCCTTGCATACCAGGATGTAACGGTTTATTCTGCATAGGATGCTGAGACATGTTTGGATGTGGCACTAAACTTGGGATCGGGGGGGTCATGTTGGGATTAATATTCTGCATATTGTGGTGGCTCGACATGTGGGATATGCTGTTGCCTAAATGAGGTATGCTGTTACTTATGCCGGAGACTATGCCCAATGGCATGTTGTCGCGTTTGTCAAAGTTCCCTGAGAAACCACTGTCTCCTTTTCTGGAGCCATCGTTCATCGACTTCTCGTCGTCCCACCGCGAGTTACCATCCCGATCCCGGTCCTCGTAAATGTCGTTGTCCAAAGGCTTCTTCAAGGAAAATCCGTGCGAACTTCTAAAATCCTTATCCGCGTAACTGCTTCTTACGTCGTAATCGGAACGCGAACTAGGCCTTCCCGGTCCGCTGGATATGTTAAACCGCAAGTCCTCGTCGCGATTCGCGTTTCGGGTGTTTTCACCATGAGGAAGCTTCCTGAGATCTTCGTCGTGTCCACTGTGAAAAGAGTTGCTCTCGTTGGAGTTTTGATTCGATTTCGTTCCGGTATACCTCAAGTCGGTGTCGCTCGATTGCGAGTCCTCCGTCATCACTCCGCCAAAGACCGGTTGGTGAATCTTCGACGTTCGATCACTGGCTCCACCGTCGCTCCAGCCGATCAGTTGATCAAATTTTCGCTTCCCACCACGATTCAGCGCTTTCAGCAGTTCGGGATTCTGTGCAAACTTAGAACTGGGCAAAGGCGGAGGAAGCTCGATATCGGGAACTTTGGAATAATCGATCTCGCCGTCGTCTTGCAAATATTCTTCAGAATCGTCCATGTTATCCGGTGGGCCCACAACGTCGCGCAACTCCTCTATTTCTCCAGAGAACACTAGTTTATTTATGGCGTCGTTCCCTTTGCCGATTGCTTCTGCTAACTTCGAGCCAGCTGCAACATTAGCAACGAGATAGTTTTGCAATTTCATTTGAAATTACCATACCCAATGTTTTTATTAACACTAAGGAATACTTACGTTCGACAGGAATCATTTTTCCGTATAGTATAATACCATTAGGCGTCACTTCATTCAACGGTACTGCTCCTGGCGTGGTTTCAATCAATTGATTCACAAATGCATTTAAAGCTTCTACCTGCTCCATATCTTCAGCCTCCATCTCGTTCCATTGAGCTTGGAAATTCCTTGGGATCGGTTTGCTATACGGCACTTTCTTATTAGCAAATTTCTTTCCTTCATCGACTGCATGATCCAAGTCCAAACCAGGAATACCACCGCTTTTATCTTCTGGTTCGCCATCGGCATTGATTCTGTCTTCTGGTCCCATGCCAGGTATTACAGCTGCTTCATCAGCTATAAAATAGCCAAAGCAATAGTACAAGTCCAATTTCCTGAACATTAAATTATTACATAAATTCTACCCGCCGTTTCATTCGTGCAAAGAGAAAATTTACTCTAATGGAGATACAATTTATGGAGCAACTAATAGCAATACTAATAACAATATTCTTATTATTGTGTACCAATTTCATGGTCATCGACACCAGCCGATCCTGCTGGCAAAGTGTTGAGATTATACTTGTCCCTCATTAAATCACCAGGTCTGTTCCGCGTCCAAAACTTTGAAGTGTGATCATTGCTACCGGAACACAAAATATGTCCCAACGGATGCCAAGCTAATGTCCAGACTATACTGTCGTGAGCTTGTTCGATTGCACCCACTTCCTTGTCAGCTCTAGAAATCAATTATAATATGAACAAACGTGTCAAAAATAATATTACAAAGGGAAAGAGAAAATTGGTGATGCATACCCAACGTGCCAGAATAAAATAGCTCCGTCACTACCACCGCTACAAAATAGACCCTCGTGGCTTGGATGCCATGCGACGCTGGAAGCTTCTTTTTTGTGACCACGAAATGTTTGAACTTCTTGACTTAAATTTCGAAGATCGAACAATTTGAGCAAATGGTCCCGTGATGCGGTTACTAGCCAATTTCCATTTTCGTTCCATTTAACATCCATAACTGTCGACTTATGTGCATGTAACGTTGCAAGAGACTGACCAGTTTTTGGATCCCATAATTTTACTGGTTGCTGATTGTCTTTGCTTCCAGAGATGACTAGACTTTTTTGTGGATGCCAGTGTACACACTTCACATCAGCTCCATGACCTAAACAATAATTAGATGAATTTCAAATTTATTACAATTTGGTACCAATAGTGATGCATTAGTTACTTGCTGAAGCTATGAGTAATAAATAAAAAATAAATAAAAATACTTTTCCAATGTTATATAATAGATAATGTACCCCTGAGAATTCGTTCTTCATGACATCGAAGAAAGTCCCAAATTCTGACTGTTCCATCATCACTGCATGTTGCCAATTTGTGATCCGTTGGACTGAAACTACCCACCCAAAAAACAAGTGTTATATTCAAACAATACGCTGTTACATACTTATAGAGTGATTCTTTATTTGCAAATGCTGACAATGAGAATTTTCTGAATGAAACAAGTACCACAACATCATAAGACGTATAATACACATTTTGCATTTATTATTTCATGTAGGCACATGTATAAAATATTAGATAAATATTAGATAATAAAATAGTAATATAGTATGATGAAAGATTGATTACACATTAAGCTTTATTAACTTTATTGAAGTTCTATCCTTGTACAAATGCAATATATTCAAAGTGAAAAAAGATAGAATATGAAAATCTCAAACATATGGTACACCTTACGGACATTATTATGATATGACATCAAAATATGATCGTTAGAAATTGAAGTTAAAGCATATAATAGCTTACATTTATTACTGATTTGTCATTTTGTTTATTAAATAAATACTACACATGCAATATATATGTACATGTTTAAGTATATACACAATGTATGAACAAGCAAAGAATATTATAAATATTTCTCTTTTTATAGTACCATCTGCTAAATAAATTATGTATCTGTATATCTACACATGCATCCTCAATGAATCCTAAATATATTATGTTAAAATTGAAATCAACTAACAGGCCTGTAAAGAATAATTTTCAAAAAAAATTACTTAAATGAAATGCATAACAAGCTACTATCTATTATATGATTACTAATATCCTCTTCATGTATGAAATTTTCTAAGTTAAATATACACTATATATGTGTGAAAAACATGTATGATAACGCGTAAAAACACATGAACAAATTGGGTCAGTTTCAAAAATTATTCACATATCAATAATGTAGTCTAAGAACACGCGTAGTGGACTGTTACTTTGAATTCGTCTCGAGGAATAGACAGATATCAGTAATAAAAGGAAGAACTATGTGTAAATATTGTAAATAAACAAAAAACCATCTTCGACAGTCATATCTGGCACTCAAACAAACTTCATTGCTGATTAAGCAACAAACTTTTCCATTGTCATGAAAATAGAATCTCTTTTTGATGCCACATGACTATCGAGTGATATACCAAGAGTAATATTTTTTCAAAAGTTCAACATTTATTGCACAAAAAAAATGTCCGAAGTGTACATGAAGTTCGTTATATCTCTCTGTTACTCTCTCTCTCTCTCTCATCTGCAAAAGGGCACAAGTGATACAGACCAAAAGAAAATACTTTATTTTTATTTTCAGAGACATATGGTACTGTAACTGTCTTTATTTAACTTTATTGAAAACTTGGATGATGTAAAGAAGGACACAGGATATTTATTTTTATTATAATTCCATGGGAATCTCGACTAGGTATTGCTGTATATTTCTTGTTTGTTTATTCTTCATTCTAAATATACACATCTTGCCCAATGATCTGACCATATAAATTCCATAAACTATGAGCCATAAGGACCTAATTTCTTTTTTCCTATATGTTTTGTTTTTTTTTTTCCAAGACTTACTACATAAAAATAATAAATTTATACTATCATAATCTAGTGGACCGTGTAGATTCATTTAGGTCCCTAAGACTCTATGAATACAGGTGACAAGTTTCATGTTAATACATGTACAATGTATTTAGCAAAGAAATTTACACTATCCTTGCTGATCAACCTTGAATTATTTTTACGATTCATGAAAAATGTTATCACAGATTTGAGAAACTATTGACTATTTAACTTTAATAAAAAGTTTAATCAAGCAAAAACACCTGCAGCTACTTGTGACATTTGTAATGGTATTAAAGCACATCAAATTTTTTCTTTTTTAATATAAAGTCTCGTTAAGTATGACAATTAAATATCAAAATTAAATTTAATAAGAAAAAAAAGTAGAAGAAACTCAGTTTTATAGCAATACGAATATCGCCATAGAGAATATATTTTCATCAAAGATAAAAACTTGAAAATATCTCTTATACAAAATATCAAATATCAGTAAATCTTTCAAGTACAATTTTTAAAAAATTCTAAAAATCACCTGTGTACCCATACAAGAATTAATGTTTTGAAAATAAAAGTGTTGTAAATCCAGAAAAGGAAGAGAATGAGAGTCATGTCCAATATCTTAACTACAGCAAGGATGGACGGATCATCGATAACAGTGGCGCAAGAGACGTAAGGACTAGTGTGGTGGATGGTATACCTGAGTCCTCTAATCGCTTCTTTGTGCGCCTGAAACATCTTGACGTTGTTCATATTGCTCTGCCAATACTTCACATAGCCTGCATGATCTCCCGTGACCATCCAACTCTCATTGTGTGACCATACCATTGTTCTCACTGGACTATCATGTGCCTAAACAGACAAAAACCATATGTTTGATCAATGTATCTGAAGCTAATGTACATTCTATAGAGAAATTAACACAATGTATCTAAATTTTAAATTTTTGAAAATTTGGTTCAGAGTTTCTTATTTATACATAAAATTTTTCATTGAAATCACAAAATCAAATTGGTAATAAAACAATTGATCATTTAACAATATTGTAAGGTTATAATTGATGTAAAACAATACTAGAAGAAAAAATACAATAAAAAATAAAAAATACCTGTAGAATAGTTTCAAAATTAAAAGTAAGACCATTCCATAAGGTGAATTCTCCACTGGATGCACCAGTAACAAGACGCCTTCCCTCTGGTGTCCAAGCCATACAAAATATAGGACAACGCATTTTATTTGTTGCAGTCTTTACAAATCTTGTAGTAACTGCATTTATAGGATTATCAACATAACTGGGTGGTGGAAGTAGATCAGGATAATACATCACATCTGGTTGAAGGGCACGTCTATCTCTATAATCCCTCTGCCATACTCGATTCTACATACAAAATACAGTATTATTATTCACTGCCAGCCTTACGAAATTCCATAAATCAAATTGAAGATCCTACCTCCAAACTCTTTATAATAGCAGAATTGTAGTCCACAGTTTTGCGCATAACAGATTTTCTAAGTCTTTTCCCATCAAATTCATCTTGTAGTGTATCTTGACCAGCAGCAACAATTTTGGGTGCATGATAAGGTCTGAATGGTTTAAAGAAACCCCTTGCTCCATCTCTGTGGTTAGTGTATCGATGTTGGTAACTTCCAGACGTGTTTATGGTAGTTAAGTTGGGTGGTGGAGCTGACAAATTTGGAGTAGTAGGAGGTGGCACAGACATATTAGGTAAACTTATGGCCGGCGGGGGATTTGCAAATTGAGTATTTGCAGACATAACAGCAGTTGTTAATTCTGTAAACACAAAATACATTCCTTATTATTGATTCATAGCTGTGACAATATTTACTTTTTGTTAATGTTACATGTGACAAATTTTCAAGTTACATCTTCAATTCACATATGGCATGCAATAGTCTGTTAGATTATCTAACAAGAGAATTCTGATTTGACTGCACAATTTGTCACGTTAGGAAAAGACTGGGTAAATTTCAACAAACCAACAATAATTTTTCGCAATATGTGAAAATGTCGCGCGAATTTCTTCGAACAAAGATATTCTTTTGCTTTTACTGCTAAAAGTTCGAAATTTCTCTCACTCATATAGCACGGTAGTTAAGTATATAATAAACGAGTACAAAACCTATTTCTATCAGTACCGAAATGTTAATGAAGGTTATACGAATTATGTTCCGGGAGGGTACAATGAATTCAACACAATTACTGAAAACCCTACGTTTCTCGAACAAGGAGTGAAAACTTATTTACAAAAATTGATAAACAACCTGCTCATTAATTGTGAACAAATTCCTCGATGATGTTGCACTGCGAAACGCTTGTCACATCTCCTGAACGTGCGTGGACCGAGCGAGTGGCAGCAGTTCAGCCCGCCACCGCCAGATGTCTAACAACTATGTCGCTAGTAGTCACTCCAATTTCTCTTCCTACACACTCTAACGTCCCGTGCAGCTCGAGACTCAGAGGTCGCCAGCAGAAGTTCTACTGATGAGTCTGGCTGGGTGGTTCCGTAATGAAACACACCTTTCTTTTCCGTTCCATTCTTTCTCTTCGTTCCACTGGTTATCGCCTCGTGCCCACGTCTTTCACAACTGCGCAAATGGAGGAGCAAACCAGAAACGAAAGATTCAATGTTTCTCCTCGCGTTTTTTTTTTTTCTTTGGATTTACGATATTTACACGATGTCACTTGTTTTCACCATTCATGTAAAAAAAAAAAATATTTTTCAAGTAATAGAATGAAATGCACGAATTGAAATATTATTTACGTTGTTACATCGACGAAATACTGACAATCTTCGCGTTTTACTTTTATGCGAATCTAAACACAATGGACAGACGGTATGAAAATTGTGTATCCCTTATGGACGCCATTACTCTTTCATACGATGACATCCGTTTCATTCGTATCCACTTCCGACGGTAGTTTTGGTAAATAAATTGCGGCAATATATACACATGTGATACTGATAGTACTTTGCACATAGAATAAATGCAAATACATATGCATTAACTCAACGTTCTTTTTTTTTTTTTTTGCAATAGAACGTGAGAAATTTTAAAAATTAATAGGGAATTTAAAATTTCTAACTTTAAAAATCCTAGGAATTTAATATATAAGAAACATTATGTTACGTCCGGATACTATCTCTTCCTTCCTATTCTTTTGTATTCTTATAATTGTCATTAAAGTAAAATTCTTACGATGCAGTTTATTTAATTTTATTTAATTCTGTAAGAATAAGTATTATTTTTGGAGGAAAAGCCACCTGTTACTGAATCTAACATTTTTAGTTCATTTATTAAAAATATTTTGCAGTGACTAATAATACTTTACTTTGATTAAACGTTCGATGCACGAAATATTATTGGGGAATTAACTAAAATTATAAAAACACGAAATGTGTTCGTAATTAATTCAAAATTTACTGATAGATGTCGCACGAAGCAGTGATTAGAACTTTTCGAAGAACATTTGATCAAAATAACATTAGTCGTGTAAAGCAGCAGTCGTGTAAAATTTGTAATAAAAGAAGATATAACAAGAAAGTGTAAATCATGGATAATAAATGTGCCATAATCAAGCTTCCTCATCATTTACAACAAAAACTGTGTCATACACGACCATTATACAGACAAGGGAAAAAATTAACGTCTGTGAAGGTAGCAAATTTGTATCCTATTCTACGCATAAAATTATGGTTAATAATGAATAATATTTTAAGTTACTTTCTTATATTACTTTAACATGGTGTAATATAAATTGATAATGTATTTTTATATACAACATGGTGTAATGTATTTTTTCAAAAACTGCCTGACGAATGCCTTTAAATTACAACAAATTGAAATTTACAAATAATTTGTAATATTTTATTTGAGACAGTTCATTTTGTAGCCCTCTATTATTTTTGTTTTTTCATCTTTACAATATTTCCTTGACGCGCTAGCTCTATGTAACAGGTTTATACAATAAATGATGAATCAAAACATTTGATGATATGTGGAGTACCCAAACTCCAATTAGGTGAAGAAGTGAGAAAACTTGTTGAACCTTATGGTACTATCGAAAAGATATACATAGTACCTGATTACCCTACAGAAGAATTTACAGAAACATATTATGTGCAATATATTCATGTACAAAGTGCAAGGTATCCTTTTATATTTCAAAAATATGCAACTGAATTTTTCTAATAAGATAATGTCTCACATTGTACATCATATAGAATAGCAAAGCGGTACGTTGATGGTAAAAATTTTTATGGTGGTTCGTTACATGTTTTTTATGTACCTGAACTTGAAAGTATCTCAGACACTAAAGAGAAGCTTCTACAGCGTCAAAAAGAAGTAGCTATGCGTATAAAGAAGAATCAGAAAGATATGTTAAACCCAAATGTTGATAAATTTCTTCCTAAGTATGTAAATAAATTAGTGTATGGTAACATAAAAGATTTGGCTATATTACATGGTTATATTACAATTAAATAACAATTTTTAGAGAACAATATAACAGAAGAAAAAAAACGCCTGCTTTACCATTGACAGAAGAGCGACTCCATCAACAGTATCCTGGAAAAACATTAGTTTCTATTTATGATGGTATACCACAAAGTTTAGATCCAAGAGCAGTATGTGAACCTAGTTTACCATCAATCTCATC